TCCTCCTCTATGCCACTGAGGCCAGGGATATTCCAGTTGGTGGAAGGTCTTCCATATTGCTTCCTCTGCTGAGGACAAAGTGGCACAGAGCCATCTCACCTTACAGCATCATCCCATACTCCTGCTGGCTGACCCATGGTGTATTAGTTTTCATAGGGCTATAAAGAACTGCCTGAAACTGGGTAATTTATAAAGGAAAGAGGTTTAATTGACTCACCATTCAGAATGGCAGAGGAGGCCTCAGGAAACTTAAAATCATTGTGGAAGGCAAAAAAAAGCAGCAAGGCACCTTCTTCACAAGGTGGTAGGAAGCAAAAGTGCTGAGCAAAGAAGGCAGGCCCCTCCCCCTTATAAAACTATCAGATCTCCTGGGAAATCACTATCATGAGAACAGCATGGGGGAAACCACCCCATGATTCAGTCACCTCCACCTGGTCTCTCCCTTGACACATGGGAATCATGGGGATTACAATTCAAGGTGAGATTTGGGAGGGGGCACACCCAAAGGCTAACCATATCACATGGCAAATGTGTAGTGTAAGTAAACAATACATCTTCATAATTTTCAGCCACCGAGATTTTGACTGTTTTTTACTGAAGAACCAAAAATATAAAACACCCAACCAAGAAGTCCAAAAGATTTCAGTTTCCTTAATGATGACTTTAATAATTTGGCATTTCCATAAATAACCCAATTCTTTTAAAAACTTCTCTCTCTTTTTAAGCTTCTAGTATGATGCAGACATTAAGTATGCACCTCATCTGGTCTGACTATTAGGAAACCTAAACCTTCTCCCTTTAGAAACTCTGCCCTGTGGCAAATCACGGAAGAATACACTGACTTTTAGAGACTATGTGAGGATCTCCTCTCTCTGCTGTCATTTACCAGCCAGTCACATGTTTTTAGAAAATTTATTCCAACTCTCTAAATCTCAGCTTTCTTATAAAATTAGCACCTATCTTTCCAAGTTATTGTGCCCTGGGGATTAAAAAAAAAAAGTACACCAAGTATAGGTGACTGTCCCAACCCACTCCTGACCACCAGCAGACACATTACTCAACCCTCCCGAGGAAGGGTTTCCTTTCCATAAAATGGGATGACAATACCTACCTCCCAACTTGGGGTCAGGATTAAATAAATGAGTCAACATAAAGCTCTCAGCAGGCCTCTGCACCAAGCGCACAGCAGGTGATGTAATCATCATCCTCATCATTAAATGGTTAAATTGCATAGCACCTAATATACATTCAATAAATCTTAGCTGCTTCCCTCGCCCTTGGAGAATGAGATCTTCATGTTTAGGAATCGAATCATTTGAAATAGCATTATCAACAGTCAATCAGCAGGGTGGCCAACAACCTACTATGAAGAGAAAAGGACTCAGTCTCTGTTTTAGACCCGTTTATGGCAAGACATGTCTGGGGCCTTAGGATGCCAGGTTGTTTCCATTCTGCGATATGCCAGGTTGTTTCCATTCTGCGAACACATGGCTTCCATTAGTTTACTGATACTGACACATCCAAGGCTTCCAAAGTACTCCAGGCCCCTGATGAGTGAAAGGTTTGCATGCCCAACAAGCAAAAGATAGGCTCCACAGGCATAAAACTGCTGCCAGGGGAGGGGCAGAGGAGGTGTTGAGTTTAGGTAGGAGACCAAATCTGGCTCTGTTTTTAATGACCACCCTGCCCACACCTGAAAATAAACTAGCTACACCTGGGGAAATTTCTAATGCTTCTGGAGCTGCAATGCCGATGTCAGTGTGCATATGTAGCCTTCATTAATCAGAGAGGGTGTCATGCGGGTGTGTGCAAACAGGGACTGGAGAAAAGTGAATAGTTTGCACAGCGTACACACACCATCTCTGCTGAACTTTCAAATCCAAAGCAAACCCAAGCGCGGAGGTTCAGCTCCTTTTATCACGTGTTCTAAGGACATCGTTGTTTGGTTGGATTCTTTCAAACAGGCCTGAATTCCAATTAGTTTGCCGTGTGAGGCTGCAGAATGGTAACTCAATCCTTGGCTAAACTTTGTCATCTGTTTCCCATCTTCAAAGCAGGATGGTCCACTTTTGTGCTGTGCAAAGGTGATGCCGGGGACCTCATTTTGTGCTCTGCGTCTCATAGCAACGAGGGCTATTTGAAAGAGGGGGAAAGGTGGGGCCATCGCTGACCTAAGTTTGGGACAATTCATTGTTTTAAGTTTCATCCCCAAGGGGAGGGTTCCAAAGAAATCAGGCTTTGTGTCCCTGATGACAGAAAGGACCTACCTTGTCGGGGCAGTCCTATGAGCTCTCAAAATGTTTGCCACGTCAGACCATACAGCAAGAGTGAGCAAATAAAAGTGTGATGAAAAAATAATGAGCGCATATTTGGCTAATACTTGAAAGCTAAGAATGTGTTTTCCCATACACCAAATCATCTGATTCTTTCAACAGCCCTACAAACCGGTGAGCAGTTTGTATTGGCCCATTTTACAGGTGAGGAAAGTAAGACTGAAGGACGCCAGCCTACCTTGATTTGCATCTTGTCTCCTGACAGCTAAATTCTTAAACCCTGGGCAAGCTTCTCCATCTTTCTGTATCTCTGTGTCCTCATCTGCAAAATGCAGAAAACAACATTGCTACTTCAAGAGTTGAATGAGTTACTATATGTAAAAACCAAAATGTGATTAAAGATCACCTGTGATATAGAAAGGGTTGGCTATGGGTTGGCTATTTTGATTACGAGGAAAGGGATCAGGTTGGTACAAAAGTAATTGTGGTTTTCGCCATTACTTTTTTTGTTGTTTTTGATACAGAGTCTAACTCTGTCACCCAGACCAGTGGTGACATCTCAGCTCACTGCAACCTCCACCTCAAGGGTTCAAGCAATTCTCCTGCCTCAGCCTCCTGAGTAGCTGGGACTACAGGTGTGTGCCACCATACCTGGCTAATTTTTTGTACTTTTAGTAGAGATGGGGTTTCACCATTTAGCCCAAATGGTCTCAATCTCCTGACCTTGCGGTCTGCCCGCCTTGGCCTCCCAAAGTGCTGAGATTATAGGCATGAGCCACCATGCCTGGCTGTCATTACTTTTAATGGCAAACACCATGATTACTTTTGTACCAACCTTATAAAGTTGAAAATGTGGGACCCCAGAAGCTCAGAATTGAAACTATCCATGGGAAGAAGAATTGGGCTGAGATGAAATCCATAGAGAAAATGAGAACAGAACACCCTTGTTCATGTGTCTGTTCAATTCCCATCCTGTCTACGCTCCACACTCAACCATGGATGGATGACACACTGCTCCAAATCCCTCAGGGTCATCAGGAAGATTGTGACCCAATCTGACATCTGGTCATGGAAAGTTGTGTTTCCTGCTTATTTTATAAAATGCATATGGAGGTGGAGAGGGGAGACCAAGTTTGACCCTCTCCAATCCATTTAATAATAGCTAATAAATTGAGCTTTTCTTGTGTGCCAGGCACTGTGTTATATATATTGCACACATTTTCTCATTTGCTTCTCATAGAGGGGGACGAAGTGTATCAGTTTGCTCAGCACTGATGGGCTATCTAGAATTTGGCTGTATTAGTCTGTTCTCATGATGCTAATGACGAGATACCCAAGACTGGGTAATTTATAAAGAAAAAGAGGTTTAATGAACTCACAGTTCCACATGGCAGGGGAGGCCTCACAATCATGGCAGAAGGTAAAAGAGGAGCAAAGTACTGTCTTACGTGGTGGCAGGCAAGAGAGACTGTGCAGAGGAACTGCCATTTATAAAACCATCAGCTCTCGTGAGACTTATTCACTACCATAAGAATAGTATGGGGAAAATCACCCCCAAGATTCAATCACCTCCACCTCACCCCACCGTTGACACGTGGGGGTCAGTACAATTCACGGTGAGATTTGGGTGGGGACACAGCCAAACCATCTCATTGGCTATAACTGAGTGTCCTGGGCAAGCTGGGACAGCTGGTCACCCCCAACAAGGAAGGTGCTTAATTCTGTTTTGCAAATGAAAGACCTGAAGTCAGAGGAGTCTCAAGGCTAGCCAGGCCAGTAGGGATTTTTCAACCTGTGCTTTTAAAGCACTATAAAATACCAGCTAGGGAGAGCACCTTCCTATGGAAGAAAGTTGTAGCACATCAGTGAATGCATGAAATTAGCTGTTGCCTTCTCTTTTTTTGAACTTTTAGGTACACATGCAGGTTTGTTAAATAGGTTAACTTGTGTCACAGAAGTTGGATGTACAGATCATTTCATCACCCAGGTACTAAACCTAGTAGTCAATAGTTATTTTTCTGCTCCTCTCCCTCCTCTGATCTTCAACCCTCAAGTAGACCCCAGTATCTGTTGTTCCCTTCTTTGTGTTCATGAGTTCTCATTATTTTTATCTGACTTATGAGAACATGCAGTATTTGGTTTTCTGTTCCTGTGTTAGTTTACCAAGGATAATAGCCTCCAGCTCCATCCATGTTCCCGCAAAAGACACAATCTTGCTTTTTTATGGTTGTATAGTATTCCATGGTGTAGAGGTACCACATTTTCCTTATCCAATCTGTCACTGTCGGGTGACAGTGTTTGCTGTCCATGTGTTTGCTATTGTGAATAGTGCTGCAATGAACGGGCAAATGAAATGAAATTTTTCAAATGAAATGAACAGACATTTTTCAAAAGAAGACATACGTGCAGCCAACAAGCGTATGAAAAAATGCTCAGCATCACTGATCATGAGAGAAATGCAAACCAAAACCATAATAAGATACCATCCCACACAAGTCAAAATGGCTATGAAGTTTAAAGAAAAAAAAGATACTGGCAAGGTTGCAGAGAAAAGGGAACACTTATACATTGCTGGCAGGAGTGGAAACTAGTTCAACCATTGTGGAAAGCAGTGTAATGATTCCTCAAAGAGCTAAAAGCAGAACCATCTGACCCAGTAATCCCAATGCTGGGTATATACCCAAAGGAATATAAGTCGTTCTGCCATAAAGACACATTACACAAATGTTCACGACTGTTGCTCTCTTTATTACAAAGGGTTTCATATCTTCCTGAACTGAGATCCTCTGTTGTTGATGCTGTTGGGTTTTGTCTCTTCTGCGGTTGCTATCCATAGGATTTGGAGGCATAATCTGAAATGTCAAATAACAGACTTTTATTTTTCTAACTAGTGTCATTCTATCTTTGGAAAAAAAGGAAAGAATAGTGTCATTAGCATTAACAACTCTGAAAGGATCAAGACCTGATCCTCCAAGTTCTATTATTTTCTTTTTCTATTTCCCCCTAAAAAGAGGTCTTAGTTATCAGTAACTTCCTATGAATTACAATTTCAGAAGTGATCAGGGACTCTCAAAGGGCATTTTCTTCATGTTCACATACCTTCCAAATGTATATCAAGACTTCACATCCCCTATTATGCTGCCTCAGTAAAACAGGCTCTCAGAGTGGGATCCATGCCAAGCAAAGAAGTCATCATCTCAAGTCATAAGGAAGTTCAGGAAGAAAGATTTCACGTGGAAAAGGGTTTTCTAATCTCCTAAATAATGTCCATGAATGGATTTACTTAAGTACACTTCAGAAGAAACGAGTGATTACAGTTGCAAGATGAACATTGCGTCAATATAAAGGCCACTTAGGGACACTCTGAAATCCCAAGGCAAAATTGACTGTCTTGATTTGACAGAGGAATAGGGCCAATTGGGGGTTTAGGCTGATTCTGTTTTTTTGTGAGTCATTTTGTCTGTGGACATGCTTCACAAATTAAAACAAACCAAAAAAATCCCTAGGTGTGAGATGATTAAAGTTTCAAATCTGGTCATTTGAAATCACAAAAGCACTGGATGAAAGCCATGCTGTTTGGAGGCTGTTATTTTTTCTTGTTAAAATCCTAGGGTTTGCTGAGCTTATAAAGACTCCATGAGTCAAATAAAAAGTGAGGGCTTTTGGAGAGAGTCATTCTCTTCAGTATCAGATGCATTTTAGTCTATAATTTTCCACTTTGGCTTATGTGGCTGTCTAGGCTTGATTCCATCAACTCATTTAATCTCCGATTTCATAAAAAAGCATGCTTTCTGTTTATCTTTGTCCAACTGAGTGCAATCTGTGCCTTCTAGCCCTTCTAACAATCCCAACTTTTTGAATTTTGTATCAGAATGCCTGTGTGGCATGGTAAATCTAGGCTGGCCTTGACAGGTTGGAAACTGCATACTCCTAGTGAGAAAATTCAGTGACGCTCCCAAAGACACTCACTTAGCAAATTCTAACCTAAAAACAGATCATCACTTTAATTTTCTGTGATTAAGTGAAGTGGGAGAGAGAAGTTAATACAAATCAATGCATAGCTATAAGTTTTCAAAAAAATAAATGATGTTTCCCCCACAAACACTTAATTTTCATATACAGTTCAAGCTAGTTGCTGAAGTAGGGAAAATTTAGCATTCGACACAAGCTCATCTGAAACCAACCAAAAACAGAAACTTGAACTGAATTTGCTTATTGCTTTATCCCTCTATTTTGTAAAGCTGAGAAGACTGCTTATGCTTCAATGAAAGTTTGATAAACAACCATTTGACCAACAGAGGCTTGACATTTTAATATCATTTTAATATCATACAATCTGTATGTATGGGTCAGAGCTGGCCTACTGACCCATACATACAGATGAGATGTCTGAGTAAAAAGATTGGTCTTTTATTACTAGTCAAGGTCGTTGTTTTATGTATTAGGTTGGTGCAAAAGTAATTATGGTTTTAAATATAATTTGCGGATGAATTTATACAGATATATTCTACCTTAATGTATGTATCATTACACTAAACAGATTCCCAACATTCATTCAGTTGATCAACCATCCTTACAAACATTTGCTTCTCAAAAATATTTATAAAATTCTGTTTGTTAGCCCCTTCAGATACGTTTTGGATCTGTCCTGTCTCAAATTCTTACTACCTAGGAAATGAAGGCCTAAAAGAAGTATTAATCCTCTACTCATACATGCACACATATAGCAATAACTTAAAAACAAGATTGTGTTGGGGAAGAAAAGAGAGAAAGAATGGTCTACCACATGTCCTGAAACAGATTTGCTTAATTTCACTCTTTATGGGGAATAAAGTGTTAAAAATAACCCAAAAAGCTGAAATGAAAGGCAATACTTTTGATTATTCATCTGTCTTTATTTCCAACTCCTCATCTGTTACACAACTCTGGACTTTTAAAAATGAACCTATTTGTAAATAAGAATAAGGAGTTGGCAACTGGATTCAGGTCTGGCCATTTTACCTGAATGGTGCAAAAATAAATGATGTAGTGGTCTGCAAAATCATCTGACTCCCCTCTGAAATCCTCTTGTTTCCTCCTGAGATTGTCTAATTATAGAGTAATGCTGAAAGTGTTCTTCACTTGCAGATTAATTAGTTGATGCTGAAGCAGTTCTTTGAACACAAAAGGCAACATGTAAATCTAAGTGTAATCAATCATCCTCAGAGTCATGGTCACTTAATTAGTGCTTTCTGCTGGTTTAACAGTTCATAAAGAAGAGGGCAATTTGGGGAAGGGTCTCCCACCATTGCAGAGAGGTAGGATGTAGCTATGAATGAAAAACGATGTTCAAAATGAAGGTTTTTAACATTGGAAATAAATTGGAAATTGACTCTCTTCTTCTGGTGACTAACAGCCAGGAGAAAACTGAACATGAAGCTTATCTTTTGGCAGCATTTGCATATTTCCAGAATTAGGAACCACAGTTTAAATTGGGCTTATCTGCTCTTTTGCGGCAAAATCAAACCCTTGAGATGATATTTATAGGGCAGGAAGAAAGTTAACTCTGGAGGGTTTGTAAATATTAGGAGGGCTTAACTTTCTGCATTCTTAGTAATATGGCTTCCTAAATAGAAAATCAAGTTGAAAGTCATACGATAAAGCTAGTTGTTTTGTAAACTACTTGTATTAGACCTTCTGACATGATTTACTAATTATTTCTGTATTGCTTCCCCAATTTGATTATATACTCAAAGCCAGGTACCTTGCCTATTTCCAGCCTTATTCAGCTAAGAGTCAGCATTCATTGAGTGAATCAATGAACAAACAATAACTGGAAATATATCTATACAACTAACATGAGCAAATGTGGCTTTGGGTATAAAAAGTATTCTTCTGAACTCAAAAAAATATTATGTCAAAGAAAATGTAGACAGTTCTGTTTGTCAATTAAGTCCCCATTCTAATGCTGGGCTGTTAACACAAACATCATCACAAAGAGACAGTCCAGCCAACATGCTCAAGTTACCCAGCACTGCAAGGAGATATGCTGGTTTCTCTAATCAATCCCTGCATCACACGACTTTTTAAAGCCACAGTTTTCTCAACTATGAATTGGGGCAACTGTGACAGTTAAATGCAATAATCACAAAACCAACTAAAGTAACTTTTTAATAGGTGTCAGCATGGTTAACATCAGTTGATTTTTCTTTTTCAAAACTTTAACTCAACAGAGAAAAAAATTTAAAACCTTGCTAAATATATGTGTAGCCCTACCTTCCCTGGACAAGAATTTCCATTGCCAACTGATAATTAAGTAGCACAAAAGCAACATTAGAGATCAGCACTGATACCTCATGATGGGTGAGAGGTACACACCTCAAACCTAAGCTTTCAGGGATGTTGTAAAATTCATTGCTCAAAAAAGAGTTTTAAAAAGTCAATAGCAGTTATGAAGATATTTGTCATATTAGCTTTTTTTCAAAAGAAAAAAGTATACAAAGAATTTAACTTTGTTTATTGTTTATTGAAATAAACAATAGTATAATTAGGGTAATATAATAGTAATTCTATTTGAAATTTTACTCCAAAAAAGAAATACTTAAACAATAGTAGTAGATGAGTGTCTCAAAGTACTCAGACACTGACCCTGTTTTTCAGAAGGATGTTTTTCATGTTTCTATCAGAACTCATGGAAGAATTTCCATATGCAATTTCTTCAACAAATCTCCACATCTAAATCTGACAACACAGAAGTGTTGGGCATTCCTTACCAAATAGCATGGTCGTACAGCAGCACGCATTTGACCGCATTGTGAAACACGTGTCTTAAGAGGCTCTTCTGAAAAGGTCCCTGCAGAAGATGCATGCACAGCATCTGTATTAGACCCACACGTAAAACATTGGATGCAAAAAGCACATTCACCCTACAGTCTTTTGACAAACGTTTTGCATGACTTAGCCACTGACTTCTCTTATGTCTTGAGTGGATTTAATACCACCGACTTCTACAGGGTATAAATAACCTTGGTCTATGCACCCAAAGTCACGTAAGATAGTAGAAAAGAACCTACCTCAATTTCATTAAACATCAGTTTTTAGAAAATCATGAATCTGTTTAACACAAGGCAGGAGAAAAGCAGATATTGCTCATACCAATTAATTAAAGCTTAGACCAAGAAAAAAAAGCTACCACTTTGTAAATATTATAGTAGACAAAACTGAAGTGTTGTCTAACATTTTTCCTCGGTTCATTTTCTGAATATGAATGCTTTCTGCATTTGCTTGAAATTATGAGAATTTTTTAAAATTCCAAAAAGAGACCAAAACTTTTTATCATTGCTGATTTATTCTCAAGCTTTCCCTCTTTTAAGAAAAGAGGGAAAATCAAAACCATATAGAGCAAATAAATACACCTAAACAAGAGATGCTGGATTCTGCTACATTTATCATTTTGTAGATGCAGGAGTTAAACAAGATAAAGTGGTAAAACACGTGAGTGCTCATTTACAGAAGTTACAAGCTTCATGAAATGCAAAAGAGCTGTATTTTGCCATAGAAAGCCAAGTGCAATAGAGTAAAACAGAAGTCGATCATATCCAAACAATGCAAATACAAACATATCTCATGAAGACTCTGGTTCTAGAGCTGCTCTCACTGTCTACTCCCTTTTATTGGACCCTCTGAAACCATTTTTGCTTGGGGCAGAAAGTAGATTTTAGTATAGCAGGAAAAATGCCAAACATCCATGGCAACTTAGAATTTTTCCACTTTCTTTACATGTTCAATTGAGACCTTCATAAAATTATAAATGAAAGGATACATTATGAGCACTTTCTTTGATGGGGAAAAAATGTGGGTGGGGGGAGGTCTTGCCTGGAAGTAAAATTTTGGAGTCTATATCCTTCTCTGCAGAACACTTGGGAGCTTTCTCTGCCAACAGCAGGACCCCCAGAAAAAAAAGCTTGCCTTTGCCTTCAGAATTCAGAAAAGTAGAACCACCAGTTGCTCCCCTGACTGTGGGTGAGACGTTGATCGCTAGGTAGGGACTGGAAAGTCCTGGGCTCCACTTTCTTGTCCCTCAAGGACTGAGGTCAGTGTGTCTTGGCGCCTTATATCCACTCTCTCCACCTTCCTGCCTTCCCTCCCCCGACCAGGGATTCACTCCTGTTTACATTGGGGAGACTGCAACTTCTGTTTCCTAACGTTTAAAAGAAGTTTAAAAGCTTATAAAAAGGCTCTTAAGATTTCTTGGACACCAATCACCTCTTACAGAACAATATTTTGATGAGTTAAGTGTAAATGAATCAGAAACGTATGTATTAAATTTCCCTTGACATGAACATCAGTTTAAAATATTAATGGAAAAAATGCCCGGGGCACAAAGTGCTGGGGTTTTTCTCAAACCCAAAATGCTTGAACGTGGAGTGGAAATCCATTCAGATCAACCAGGTTTGCTGATCCTCCCTCTCCACCTCTCCTAGGTCGTAGTTACCATGGAGGGAGTAATATTTCTGGCTGTTGACCATCTGGCTGGGGAACAGATCACATTCCTGGTCATTATGCTTGCATCTCAGCAGAAGCCCAAGGCTGGGCTGAGGCTGTTGAGATGTCCAGCCACTGTTCACTGAAGGTTGACCCTAAAAGCTGTCTTTTTTTCCCCAAGACCAAATGAACTAAATAAACAATCACAGAAGATCATAAATCACTGACAAAGATATTTAGATTTGGAACAGCCCTTAAAAACAGAATGTGCCACAATTTATCCCTCAAAGATTAACTCAGCCCTGGGTCCCGTAATTGTGGATCCCATGACTTCTGATGATAAATGACACAAAGGTCAAAACTTGAGAACCAGTAGAGTGTTTTTGTTTTGTTTTAAATATTGATTCTAGGTCCAAGGAAACACCCAGAGGAACAGAAGCAACGCAAAATCCTGAAATGAGACTTGATCCCTAAAAATCATCACTATTGATTTTTTAGGTTAGATTTTCATCTCTGTTTTGTTTTGGGAACGGATGCCCGCACACACTCGGTGAGTGACAAAATAAGGAGATGGAACCGAGTGAAAGAGATTTCAAGCCTCTCCTCTTTGGTCACGTTAGCTAATCTGATCATTCGGGACATGTGTCACAGACACTACAGCTGTGAACAATTGCTAACTTCTTGGTGAAACACACCATGCGTTCAGTGCTTTCTAAAGTACTAATGAGAGCGTATCTGCGTAATCGTCAACCCAACGCTCATTCTAGTAACGCACGTGAAAGGGTTCTGTGAACTGTCATAAACTATCTCCACATAAGCTGTTTTTACTATCATTTTCAAACATCATATCCCTCACCCCCTTAAGGAGACCTTACAGTCCTCAGTGCTTTAGAAGATGCCCATAATCACCTCTATCTCAGTAGGGGTGAGACACAAGAGTTCCCTTCCAATGGAATATTTTCCCTTGCTCATTCTTTCTCAGACACGCGCGCTCAAAGTTTCGGCAGGGTCTGGTGGTCAGGGAAGAGTACATATTTACAGAAACATACCTTTTAAAAACAGTGTTCAGCCTTGATCTACTCAAGGCCATGTGCTGGATATATGTTTGTTGAATGGCTAAGTGAGTGAATGAATGAAAAAGCATAGCTCTTTTACAAGAAATTTGCATAGATGAATGTAAAATTAAAAGTCTTATCAGAGGCAGGTATAGCACAAATTCCCCCCACCTCAAATAGCCATCCCTTCACTTCCAACTCCTCCCACCACGGAAGATGATTAGGGTTTTCAAGGAAAAAAAGAGAAGGTATACAGCAATGAAACACCCCAGAGAGAGCACACTGATTTCTTTGCTTTATATGGTTTATAATGTTTAACCTCTCTGGCAGCCACCAGTTCTTAAAAACTCCTAAGCATTTTCACAGAAAATATAAGGAAGAGGGAAAACCAGCAAGAGTAACAACGTCAATGGAGCTGGCAGACACAGAGAGACTTGGGAAAACTATGGAAGCTCTACAACACCTGATAACAAATCTCATTTCCTAATACAAGATCTGGGGACTGGAGAAAGTGTTATAAGCCAACGCAGGGAATAGGATAGACATCAGAAATGCCCAATTCCAACCCATTTTCTGAGACTCCTTTCCTGGGCAAACCCCAAGTTTGTGCAGACATAAATACAGTCCTACCATAAATGGATCTCTTTTTATCCCAGGTAATCAAGATCCAGTCATCTCCCCCAAGTTGGGCTTCTCTTGCTCTATCTGGAGATTCAGCATACACTTGTACTCTAAGTTTTGCCTGGATAGATGAAGGAGGCAGTAAGCATGCAGCTACTGGGGTTAGCGGCTGTCCCTTGATCGCGTGCAAAGATGGAGGTCCATAGTTTATCCCCAAAACGTTTCCATGCTTTTTCCTGGCATTTTCTCTCATGCTTTTACAAGCCTTGTTCAGGGAGTGAAAATTCATCTTAAAGGTAGTTTAGACCCACCCCTCCCTTAGGGGAAATTTCAATGCAGAGGGAAAGCAAAAAGGAAAGTTATACTTCAAAGCCTTACAAGATAACCACGTGGAGAAGGCTCAGTCTTCCCAGTTACTCAGCCCTCCCCTGTACTAATTGCAGGTGATAGAGCCTGACTGTATTATTATTTGCATACTTGCTCGCAAGAAGGGCCACAGAAGGTCTAGAAACTCGGCTGGTGTTTGACTGACATCTTTTCAGACTTGGACCCCCACTGCCCACCCCCAGCCCCCCCTCCACCACCACCACCACCACCAGTCCAGGACCTGATGTAATATTGCCACAGTCTGATTCCCGTTGCCTTTGATATGGAATCTGTGCCTACAGTCAGCTCTCAGGGCTAAAGGAAACAGCCAGCTCCCGAGGCATCTGATTTGCCTCCTGCCCTCGCTGCTGTTAATCTGCAACACGCCGCGGCCTCCCGATCGCTGCCGTTCAGAGTCGGATGTCAGGGGTCGACCGGCAGGGGTCCTTTCTTCTTTCTGTTTGATACATCCTTCCTTCCGCTGCTCCTCGCAATCAACCGCTAGGCCAAGGAGGGGAGCAGGCAGGAGGGAGAGCGAGAGACTTCCGGAAACCTCTATCCTCCCTTCCCTGCACAGGTTGCCCCATAATGACCCTGGAGACTCCCGCCTGCCCCCAGTGAAGGAATTGGTTACTCGCCCAGAGCCCTCCCGGGCATCGCCCCCTTCTTCACTTCCTCCTCTTCCTGCCCCCAGCCTCTACCCCTCCAGCCTCCTGTGGCTTCACAGCCAAGTGCCCCATCTCAGGAAGGAGTTAGGTGATGGTGAGCCTTCAGACTTCCCCGCCTCCCCGAAGGCACAAAGGCAAGCAGTGACTTCCCTGGTATCACTTGTCAATCTAGGAGCACAAGGGAGCAATCAAAGACGGCATGGAGCATGTGCTCCTTTCTCTTAATAAATAATACTATTCAGACGTGCTAGAGGAAAAATACTTCTTAAATTTTAAAACTGGTTTAGAATTATTTTGAATGTACAGTGTGTGCTTTCCTGGAGTCCAATTGTAACATTAACCCCAAACCTAGGAGTTCTGTTTTTATACATCAGGAAGGGGACCCCACCCACTCACCCATCCACCCATCTTTCGACTCACCCACCTACTCTTGCTTATCAGTAAGTGATTTATTTTGCCAGCACTAAACTATGCAGCTTGTTTCCCCTTTGCCAGCCTCTGCAGACAGAAAGCAAAGGCTGATTATTCTCAATTCTCAATTGACACGTACATGCCTCCTCTGAAGCCATGGCTGGGTGACACCTCAGGCAAATGCACTGATGTGCAGAAGTCTGTCTGCATATTTTCGTTTTTGATTCTTTTACTGGAAGAATCTTTATAGGTGGGAGGCAGGTGCACATCCATGGCAGTCAGGGGTCAGATATTAGAGTACTTACAGTGCTTATAATTTTCATAGGATCAGCCTCCTCATTGCCAATTTCACTCTGTTTCTGGGTCACAGATCATACCTCTAATCATGGCCAGTTGTCTCACCAATGTGTGTTACAAGGGGCGTGGGGCAAGAAGGTATAGCTGACCCAGCATAACCGTTGCTTCTATTGCAGAGAAACTCAAAGGGCACGTCCTACAAAGAGCAGAACACTATTAGAGGCAGGCGTAATTGCAGGCACTAAATTAGCATGGGTCTCTCAGCCGGGGGCTAATCTAAGCCAGACCTCACGTCATGGCAGGCCATGAGTACACTGCAATTACAATTCACAAGAAAAGAGAAAAATCACCCTCGATTCTCTTTTTAACACGGCAGATGCTTAGCAATTATATCAGAGGCTGAGGCATCTGGGAGTAAGCAAGAAAAGTGATTTGGGTTAATAGTCTTAGAAAGGCTAAAGGATTTTCAGTGTATCTATAGGACTGAGCCCCGTGGGTGCTCCCCTTTCTCTCCCTGACATCAGCCATGTCCACCCCACCTCTGCCATTACAGGTTGGTGCTACCCAGGGTCTCCATGCATGCGTTGTTCCCCTGCGCCTCACACTTCATCCAGACCCTCCTGCTGACCTGCCCTACCTGGCTGACCTACTGCCTCAATTCTCTAAAACAGTACTTGAACCCTCCCAGTTCCATCTCTTCTCTTTGTAGGTTTTCCTGATACCCATGGGGCCCCATGTTTTTAGACTATGCCCTAACACAGGGCTTTTAAAGCTTACTTCCACATGAAGGCAGAAATCAATCTTGGGTGGTCAAAACAAATATGTTTTCTCAGTGGTAGGCTTAGAAGTGATTTTTTCCCTCTATAATCAACACATATTCATTTTACATTGAAAAACTGTGTGTGCATGTATGTGTGTGTGTGTGTGTGTGTGTGTATGTCTGTGTTTAATTCAGTTTAAAAATCTAGTATACAAACACACCAAACTTTGCTTCTTCTGGCTTTTTAAATCCTTTTCACATGCCACAGTCCTGGATCCACCAGTGCAATTAATCTGCCTTTGAATTTGCCAACTGGCATTCTTTCTGGTGGGGAAGCGGGGAGGTTGGAGTGCAGTGGCATGATTGTAGCTCACTGTGGCCTCAAACTCCTGGGCTCAACCAATGCTCCCACCTCAGACTTCTGAGTAGGTGAAATTACAGGCATAAGCCACCATGTCTAGCTAAGTTTTTAATTTTTTTTTGTATTGACAGTGTCTTGCTATGTTGCCCAGGCTGGTCTCAAACTTGTGGCCTCAAGTGATCCTCCTGCCTCAGCCTACTAAAGCACTGAGATTACCCTGGTCTTTTTTTTTTTTTTTTTAATTAATCAAAGAAGAAATCACAGACCCATTGTATTTCTGCAGGTCAAAATCTTACACTGTTGCCAGGGATTAATTTCTATGAGTGGATGAGAAGTCTCTTTTTCACAGTTTTCTTTTTGCCTGGGGACTGCTGCCCTGATAAAACTTAGGCCTTTCCTTGTTAGGACATAGTAACCCTTCCAGCCATATTATAATGAATTTTGTAAAACCTGGCCAAAAAGTGGGCTGTACTGGAATACTACCTTTTTAAATTTCAGAATAAATAGGCTATCAGCAGGATCATGGACAAGTTTTGATCATACAGAGACAGTCATTGTAATAGGACTTTTTCTGTGTTAATATAATGATTTAATAAAGCCATTTGGCACATGAATAAGACTCTCTTAGACCAAGCTTTCTTAACAATGAGAGAATTGAGATCAGCCTATAGGGTGTATTAGTAAAAATGTCTTTTCTAGCTTTACTAAAACTCTTCCATCTGTTTAGCAATAAATTTATTATTATTAAAACCCTTCTGAAATACATGTGGTAAAAAAAAAAAAAAAAAAAGTTCTGTCCCTGTTATGATACTTTCCAAACAAGCTTAAAATTGCCCAGAAACAAAAAGCAGGAGAGAAAAGAAAGGGCAGTGTCTCCAGATAATGAAGTTCTGCCTTTGTGTTTTATCTGTGAAACAGCACGGTTTGAAAAGTCTGGATCCCATTTCATCTGAACTCGACATAAATGTAGTGCCTGGAATCCTCCCAAATGAATAAATTCTTTTCCGATAATTTTTAAGTGAGGAAAGATCAACAGGATAGGGGCATGGGGTGGCGGTGGGGGGGATTATAGGCTGCGGTGTGTGTGTGTGTGTGTGTGTCTGTGTGTGTCTGTGTGTGTGTGTGTAGGGTAGAGGGCAATAAAATACAAATTAAGGAACACAAATCTGGTCAAATGTACCCATTGCTTTCTTTTTGGTGAGCCATGCTGAATTTTTGTCTCTCTTTCTTGAAAAACCTTAATAGACTGATATATTTGTTGACTAAGTTTTCTTGTTCATTCCTATTCCACTTCCCTGTCCCATCTTAAGTATATATTCCTCAGATGGCAACATGTCAAAGCTCCCTTCCCTCAGATGGTATGCAAGCTCCTGATCTTCTTTTTCTTCTCCCTGGATTGCGCACAAAATGATGTCAATTTATGGTGGGCTAAGGGGATACACCATGGATCCCTGATCTCTTTAATTTTCCTCCATGTTGTGAGGTCTTGCTGAGCGCAGTCTGCAACTTCTGGAGTGATGAAGAGAACAAAAAGCTGTACGCCTGTCACACTCACTCTCAGGATCAAGGTTACCAAAGAGGAAATGTGTAATTTTTTAAATAAATGGCTTAAGCAGACCTCAAAAAGTTCTGCAAAGAACACAGTTCTCTTTAGGGCTTAATGTTCTCACTTTGCTTCTTTGTGTTTTTCAAGAAAAAAAAAGGGAGGAAAAAAAGGCCATTGATGATCCTCCTCCTTTGACCACTGGAAGAAAGGTAGAGAAAAAGAAAAAGAAAATTAACAAAGAAAGGACCCATGTCCCTCCTGCTTCCTCCTCCTCTCCCCATCCACAGGCAAAATCTAATAACGATGATTAAATTACATGTCTTTTCCTCCCATTGAAATCTACTGCATACTATTCAAATATTAGAACTCAGGAAATAAGGCAGGACAAGGTCCCTCATGAAACCTTAGAAGGCAGCACAGGGGTCTGAGCTGGAGGTCTGCTTGGCTGGGCAGCTCTAATTAAGAAATCACCCTGCTGAGCAGAACTTAATCTAAATAAAATATAAAAAGGAATCCAGTGAAAGCCATTACCTCCACAGCCCACATCCTCACACACCTCACATCCATAGCCTCCATTTCCCTAGTCCTAGGGAACTCTGCCTCCCATCACCTGGGAGTTCCATGTTGTTCTCTGAGCCCCACAGTACAATCAAGTGTGAAGTCTCAGCTCTAGAAGAGGAAGCTATGTCTTGTGCTGGCCTCTTGCTGTTTGGCTGGCCTTTCCCAGGGCGAGAGGCAGACTCGGTCAATGTTGTCTTAGTTTGCAGCGGGATATGAGATGGAGATTTGATCAAGGATTGATTAAAAGAGTTGGTTATCTGCTATAGTTAACAACAAGGTATTGTGCATCTCAAAATACCTAGAAGAGAGGATTCGAGATGTTCCCAACGCATAGAAATAATACATACTAATGATTGTGGATATTTCAGATACTCTGACGTGACCATTACAGAGTCAATGCATGTAATAAAAGATCGTATGTACCCCATAAGTAGGTACAAATATTTGGGTCAACTTTTAAAAAGCAAACAGAAAAAAAAAAGAGTTGACTTTCTGGTCAGCCTTTTGATTCTTAACACAATGAACTGCCAACCCTCAGTCTCTCTGCAGGCTAGCTGGGTTCTCCATCAGTTGTTTTTGATGGAGTAGCCAACTGAGAGCAAAGTCCATATCCACTTAACTTGATACTGCTCAATATCCTTGTACTAGTTAGTCCTTTATACTGTATTGAATCAGCCTCAGACCTCTGCCCTACCCATGTCCTGGGTGCTCCCTCTGATGTTGGGGAACATTTGTTTAGACTCATTTCCCACTCTCCTCCATAGAGATCTGTTCTGAGTTCTCACTGATCTCAGTGTTGACCCCATGAGTGTGCTGTTCTCTATACTACACTTTTGTGACTTTGCATGGACTGCCATGGTGGTGGTTCTTAAACTGTTGAAAACCTGTGGAAGGAGAAAAACTCTATCCCTAGAGTTTTTTGACATATGTGTGGGAAAAGCACACATATGTACATAAACGCAAGGTTTGCCAGCAATTTCAGGGAGTACCTCACTCTCTAAGGAGTGTGTGATTGCCAACTTGACCTATTTATGCCTGAGGTTACAATTTTTGCAGATTGTGGCAATGATCTTGAGCAGTAGAAGATAAATGACTCCCACATGCCTAGTGTTCCAATAATGGAACACTAGACATAAATGGGTCGAACCATTGAGATCGATTATCCCTTTCTCTCTTTTCTCCCATTTTTGGAAAACTCCTACTTATCCTCAAGGAGACCTGCACAAAGTTTACAGACTTCTGCCCTGTGCTCCTTGATGTGTTTTGTCTATAAGGCCAGTATACCACTTACCACAGGACAGTAATTTGTTCGTGTGTCCACCTTCCTCTAGACCAAAGAGGGGAAAATGTTCTCTTAAAAGTAGCATATAGTAAATATTATAGGCTTTGTAGGTCATATGGTGCCTGTGGCAATTACTCAACTCTGCTATTTTTGCAAAAGCAACCACAGAGAATGTCTTAGTCTGTTTGGG